GCCACCTCTTTTCATAGTGGTTCTGGTAACGTGTGGCTTGCGCTGTGCATCTACATCCCCTGCTGCTGGTTTGGATGGACTCATATCAGCAACTCTCTTACTCGGCTCGCCGGGTCCATTGAACAAGGGGTTTTGACCTCTCGTCTATTCATGTCTCACCTTCTCGAACGCAGCTGTCATCTCAGCCGGACGCATAGGTCCCTGCATCTCAATCTTGGTCGCCCACACTTACTGCCCTTGCCTGAGGATATGGCTTGTTGTCGTCCTTGACTCGCTTTCCCACTACACTGCACTCTTTGTTGCGCTTGGACTCACTCAACATTTGCCTAGTCTATGGTGTGCCGCCCTCTACCCGAGACGGCAATTCTTGGGCCGGTCAAATGCCAGTCAGCACTGTGACTCGTCCTATCAGGGCCTACCGGCTCGTGAAATGTCTGGACGCCCTGGCGCATGGCATTGGGGACTTTCCAACGGGACAGACTATATCCCGCCGTTAGGAGACTTTCCAATGGCATGCCTCTTGCCCCCAACGTCATTGAGGTGTGAACGAAATCAAAGGTATGCAGCAAGCATCCGATAATGACGGAATATGGACACCCCATGTTACACATCTTGTGTGCTGCTTGTGGGTCACCCAACAACCACGGGTTGGGGAGCCAACAACTGCAGAAGGGCACTCGATTATATTGTCACTAAACACTAAGCCTCCTCCTCCGTACTCTGATATTTTTCTCCTTGCCTTGGGTTGTCCACGGTCGCTACGCCCCACTCGGAAAATGGTGGGCGGTTGACTGGTAACATTTCGCTCATTCCTAGTGTAATCCGGATGGCTGGCCAAATCAGGCTATTGCTCATTGGGACTACCATGATATATCCTACGCAGAGTTTGAGGCAGGAATTCCATTTTGGAATATACTTTAGCGGTTGTAACCAAACTGCGAGGATCCCTGACTTTTGACCGACTGGACGACAAAGGACAGGACCACGGACAACATGCAGGTTGAAGGACCAATTCATGCCAGCCGTTGAACACATGGTACCTTGCCGAGCATCTTTGCCTAATGGAGGATTTTCCGCTGTGCAGGCGATATTGTACCTGCACCAAGCTGCATGCATGGCTGACGTCTTGGGATAGAGTCTGCACAAGTCTGCGCGAACCTTTCATACTGGGAACCACTGGCAGTTTGCAAAATTTTTTGTGGGCACCCAACCAGTCTGGTCCCCCTTGCAGAGAACGAATCTTTCCTTGCCAACGACCTCTCCAGCAAAGAGCTGCAAGAAGCGGGGCAAAAAATTTGACACGTTTGCTCTGAGGTCTTCCTGTCGCACGAGATACAACAACGCATTATACACTACTCAGGAACAGTGGTCGAGTCGCTAGCCAATCCATTATCCACTTCCGCCAACACGTGGGCAATCACAAGCGAAGAACAACCGACCAGTACCATGGGAAGAGGGTGTGTTGGGATTTCTCCCCGTTCCTGGAGCCTACCTTTCTTCCGCCTAGCTTGACAGCTCTTTCTGCCACCACCGCGGGATTTTTCGGTGACCTTTCTGACAACTTCCAATCGTCGGACCTTCGTGCCTGGCGAAGGTGACTGGGTCTCGAGGCTCCATGTCAGAGTGGGCCCTCCAACCAAGACGTGCCAAGTTGGGTCCTTTCGTGGCTTGCGTTAGCCCAGGTACCACCCAACCTCTGGGTTTGCGCTCGCCCTCCTATTTGATGGCCCATATTCAGGAACGCGCAAAATCCAACAATCCCATCCACTTCACCGCCGGGGGGAATGGCCATAGCGCCGGCGAGCCATGTTTCAAGATACTTCTGGCCTAGGCGGGTTGTGCATTTTGCGCTTCCTTTTCAGTTCTGAAAAATACCAGGATCTTTGACTGACTCCGAGGATGGCTCCATTTTGGTCCTGTCCGTGGCGGACAGCGCCAACGCATCTGCGAAAATCTCTGAACGACGGAGGAAGGGTCCCATCTCCTGTGGGACTTGGGCGCTGGGGCCGACTCCCTTCTGGCTCCTCGAGGTCTGTTGATGTGGACGTTGACTGTGATGTGAAAAGCATCTACTTAAAGCGCGTCCTCCCCATTGTTGTAGGATTTCCTGTTTTCGCAATATCTTGTCAATCCTTACAACCGCTCCTCCTTGACATCCCCGAGCAGGTCTCCAATCAGCATCATTCTTTAGCTGAAAGACCTTTTGTCGACGAGAACATCCTTTAGGACCACTCCTTTTCCCCCAACACCATTGTCCAAGTGGCTTACTATCCTTCGCTACTACGGGTACATCAACTATCAAAATGCAATTCAAGAACGTTCTCGCTGGCACAGCCGTGCTGCTTGTCTCCACTTCCGTCGTATCGGCAGTAGGATCTGCTACCGTCGTTAACAACTGCGGATTTCCCGTCTACTATGCGGCCGTCGGAGGAAGCTCCAATCCTAGCATGCAACCACTCGAAGGAAGCTATAGCCAATCCTACAGCGAAGAGGGCGTTGGCATCTCTATTAAGCTTTCTCCCAATGCTACCACCTCTGGGCCGATCTCCCAATTCGAGTTCACTTGGGCCAACGGCAAGATCTCGTACGACCTCTCTAACATCAACGGCTACCCCTTCTCCGCTGGAGGGATGGAGGTCGTCCCTTCGATGCAGAACGATCCCAATAACCCAACCTGCGTCGTCGTCGACTGCCCTGCGGGTCAATCTGTTTGCACTGCCGCATACAATGCCCCCGATGACACCCGCACCATGGTCTGCGATCAGGACTCTAACCTCATCTTGACCATGTGCCCCGGCGGATCGAACAAGCGAAGCGTCTCCCTCAGCGAAGGACACATCCACTACCGTGTCCACGCTCGCCATTTGCCCAAGAAGGCATAGAGGGTACCTGCCGGCCAGCATCGAACAACCAAAAGCCAGAAGCATAATGCCACTGTACAGTTTTCCAAGACTTTTTGCGCAGCTAGCTCTGCCGCCTCTCTACCACGTTATACTGCCTGCAAAGACGCTCCCTTACGATATCTTCCATGAGTCGACACGTGGACATATCACTGCCCCTGCAGGTTTAGTACCCGATCTCGACGATCATCATTCCTCATCACATTTTAAGTCCCGGTGACAGGCCTCCCGTGGAATACTGGAAAACGACAGTGACATTATGCTCGGCTACGAAGCAACAGGCTCACAACTCATACACGAACCTTATGAACAAGCGAATCAAGTCATGACATGACTGATGATCAGCAGCGGCGATGGTGGACATTTGTTGCTGACGTTTCAATCCTTTTTTCTGTTGATTTTTCGGGCAATAGTCTTCCTGACTGGCTCGCGGCATTATCGACATGACTTTGAGGTTCCTTGATCTGGCTCACATCTGTAACCCAACAGGTGGTGTCGTGGTCGGACTCATCGCGTGTGCAGATGGTGGGAAGGATAAACCTATTGTTCTCAAATATGAATAACTATCCCAGCAGAGAGCAAGAGGAGTACAGCAGACGTCTCCAGGATATTTGCTGTCTCTCGGGATCTACAAGGGTTTTTTTGCGTGATTATAGACTTCACTTCTTGGATACCATACACTTAGGGACATAACAATGACAAGGGCAATGCCACGAAATGACATGGCATGCTTTCCTTCTCTCTTGGAATTGTTTTTGCGGGTTGTTGACGTTGGCGATTGAGGATGACGACGACGATGCGCCCTGTGGCGATTGTGGCGCCAACTAGCTTCTCACTCCTCTTTTAGCGCCAAGCCACGAGCCCCTAATTCAAGGAATCATCCATAAAAAGGAAATTGTTAGCCGCTCCCTTTCCCCTGCGTTGGGCCTCGCTAACACCCCCGCCCCGAGGCCCCTTAGTTCCCTCGCTTCCTCCCCTCCATCAAGCTTTTCGCCTATGGACTATGTACAGTAGGCCTCCTCTGCAAAGGGGTCCGTGTGTCCAGTACAATCAAGGCTGATCAATGATCATCAGGAGACAGGACTTGGTGCCCCCAGCATCTTGAAACCGGGTGGCTTGCGACAGTAGGAGCAGACACCCCTGTTGACGGCATACTTATTAGCGAGCTAGGTTGTAAGTAGGTAGCCCAGCAAGGACGGGGCTTGGATCTCCGTCTGGGCATCTACAAGCACTCCATACTCCGTCCGCGCGAGATACGAAGTACAGCTACAGTAGCCGCCAAGCAGGTGAGCCAGGCCATGGCGACCGTTTCCCCGACCGGTGATGACTGGTCTACGAGAAAATCACATGAAACATGAAACAGTGATGCTTATTTTTACTCGCAGACTACATGCGGTACAGCACAAGGACATGGCCATCACAAGAGAAGAAGGAAGATTGGGGCCTCGTCATCACCTCGATTTGACTCTGTCTACAAGCACTTGTACTCGTAAGAACTCCGTCCTCCGTACCTCCCTGCAGATTGTCTGTTTGCAGGGATGGCGATGGAAGAAAAATCCTGCTTGTAACCATGCAAAGCATATACATAATCACGGTCCACCGTAGCGCGTTATGCTGTCGAGGGAAGAAGGCTGGGATGTGGTATGTTTTGAAACGCGCCTCGTTGGTCCGGATCCCGTCCCCATGGATGTGGAACAGGAGATTGGTATCTAGAATTCGGGGTCGCGGTTGGACTTCAGGACTGTCTGACCTTGCTACATACACGTGTGGTAGGTATGCAGTACCTCATCACTGCTAGACCAGTTGAACAAGGAATAGGACTCCGCAGAGCAAACATCGGACAAACAAGAGCAGACACCAGCAACATGGATAGCCATGCCTTCCGACTGAGACATGCATAGTCAACCCGGCAGGTCTACCCCTGTCATCGCCAGGCAAGGCTGACATCTGCACAGGGTCAATCCCGCGGAACCGGGTGAAGTCCTGGCCCCCACTTTGTAATGGGGACTCGTTCAGCCTCGTTGCAGAGTCTATGGGCCTTGGGTGTATTATCTCCGTGTTCGTACGCAATTCTGCCCCCTTGGATGCCGTGAGCACAGCCTACGCTTGCTTCCCCCATTTCATTCCGAGCCTCTGGAACCACGCAAACCACGATCCAGCCTCGACGTCGGGGAATGTTGATTGCCAAAAAGCCGCAAATGAACCTGCTCAAATGTCAGAAACAATCTTGGTGATCCACTACTTTTTTGAGTAGAATTGCTGCAACATGGTATATACATATGCGGATCTCACCTTCAATAGGTCCGAGCTCTCCAAACCCCAAGGCCTCGATGACCCATGGTGCAAGATAGACAAGGATCCCAATAGCCACAAGGGTAAGTATCGCTGCGGCAAGGACGGGATGGTCTCTCGTGAATTCAGAGGCGATGTCATATGCTTTGTCGTAGGCTTTCTTTATTGCTCCGGCCATGACTCGGCCTAACTGCAGCGCGGCAACCAGGCCGTCGAGAACCCGCTTTGCCAGCCCTTCATACCAGCCATCTGTGTGCACAATGTCTTTGAGCCGGGCCTCGAGGTCCCGCCCGGGCTTTTCGGCCGTGAACAGGATGGAGAGGATCGTGGATGCGAGCTACTTTTCGTCGGCTGGCTTGATTTGTTGTTGGGTGATGCTACTGCCCTTCTGTTTCTCGGCGATGGAAGCATAAGATGGAATATCATCGCTCTGGCCGGCTCCGAAACACTCAAAGATCGATCTAAAAAGTGCCATGATGGAATGGAGGGATGTCTCTTGGGCTCTCGATGGTATGGGACGGCTTTCTCATACGGACGTTGTAAAGGCGGTAGCTTGGAAGGGAAACTACTGGGATGAAATATTTCTCAACAGGTGGTGTAGAAATGAGGCTGAACTGGATCCCGCAGCCATTAAATCTTTCTGCCTACCTCGACACTGCCTGCACCTCCAAGCGACCGTTACACAAGCAGTAACCCATCCAATGGCACTGCGCCACGACTTTTTGATGGATGAGTTCGAATGGTATCTGTAGGTCCGTAACCCAAATGCCTGCATAGTAACAGTTCTGCGCTCTCCCTTGAGTCTTTACGTTATCACGAACACCACGTATTTGTTACCACACCCTGCACGCCCCACACAGTTCATGTACAGATACTGAGTATTTGTACTTGGTAGACTGAACTCCCACACGTGATCGATTGGTCGAAAGTTTGAATCTCATCACGTAAGCAAGGCTGGGCCTGTCACATGGCACATTCTAGTGGGGGGCGCAATCCGATTTTCTCTTCCCTCTACAAATTACTTGCGCCGTTCACTCTACATTCGTCACAACACATCGAGCTCCCTCTGAGCAAACATCTTCCAAGAAATCCAACAACCAGTATCTCAGATCCGTCCAAGTCTCCACTCTCTCCATCGGCCCACCTTTACACCACTACCTACCACTACCTACCTGACGCACGAAGAGAAATGTCTTCCGGACAAGCATACCAAATCCCCACACAACAATCCAGCGCCTTCGCAACGGGCTACGTTGCAGGCGAGTCGTCGAGCGGCCCGACCGTGCAGTACGTGTGCGGCGAGTGTAACACGAAAGTGAGTCTGGCAAGAGGCGACGTCATCCGCTGCAGCATGTGCGGACACAGGGTGCTTTACAAGGAGAGAACGAAGCGGTATGTGTTTCTGCTGCGCTATGCTATGCGCCCCTGACCCTGACCCTAACCCTCGGCCTGGAAAAGTGGCTGGCGTCTTTTTTGATTACTTGGATTTTGTGGCTGATGCCGAGAGGGAAATAGGATGGTACAGTTTGAGGCCCGATGATGCGTCCAAAACCTGCAGAAATGGAAATGCGAGGCAGTATCTGGCGTCGCGCGCGAAGTTAACGATCCATGTGGAATGTTTCTCTTGATGGTGGTGGTTTGCATAGCCCCGGCGTTTTTGGGACGGCTTCGAAAGCAAATAGCACTGCCTAATCTGTCGGCCTGTGCAAGAAGAGATACGAGATCATAAAACTCCCGACAAGCCCCTTCCAGGTCAAGATGACAAACCAATGACATTGCACTTTTGGGGACCTCTGTTCTATACTCGGTTGGTGAACTCTATGAACTTGTCGAATTCTTTCAGAGCCTTCCCGCTTTCTATGCACCATCTGGCCTTTTTCACGCCTTCTTTCCATCTTCCTCCTGCCGGCCCTCGCTCTGTGATGACTTCACCACTTTCGCAGCTATCGGCATCACAAGCGCCACTCACCACCAGCAGTGCGGCGATGTTCATCAGCACAAAATGCAGTATCGGGTCATTGGGAGGTCTCTCGTTGCGCAGAATGCTCATCAGCACGGCGGCGTTTTGCCTAGGCAGGCCTCCGCCGCCAACCTGCGATAGTGGGTGTGAAGGTAGACCAAAGTCGGCGGGCTCAAGTTCGAACCTCTCCACCTTGGAGACGTATTTGGGTGGCGCCTCGTCGTCACTGGTATCCTCCTCTTCATCCCGATCGCCCCTATATTCTGGATTCTCCGCTTCTCTTAACAACCAGCAGTTCGTTTTGCCGGCACAACTTATCTCATCGAGATCTTCCTGCCCGCAAACCACAAGCGCCTTGGTGGCGCCGGACAGTTGCAGCGCCTGCGCGAAGACGGGGCCCAGTTCTTGGTAGGCAACGCCCACAACTCGAGCTTCAATATGCGTCTCCACGGGGTTGGCAAGGGGCCCCATTAGATTGAAGATTGTCCTCAGTCCAAGTTCCCTCCGCACGGTCGCAGCATACTTCATGCCAGGATGGAAATTCGGCGCATAGAGGAACGTGTAATTCGTATGCTCGTATGCCTCTGGCAACAGCGCCGCGCCCAGCGCTTCTATCTTGGGCGCCTTGGGCAAAATAGCATTCAACACATCCGCTGACCCGGACATGGATGTCTGCGCCCTGTTCCCGTGCTTCGCCATCATTAGTATCGGCGACGCAATTATCGAAGCCGTAGTCGAGATGTTGAACGTCGAGTGCGCATCCCCACCTGTTCCCACAATATCGCACAGTCCACCTCTGTAACTTCCCATACCCATACCACCGCGCTTCCTCTTCCGCACGACTTCTCTCAATTTATGTTTATCCACCTGTACCGCGGCGTCGCGCATACTTTCTGCACATTTGGCAATCACGTCGGGATGCCGATCTTTGCCCGTCGAGTGCAACAGCGTGAGCAGGGCGGCGAGCTGCGTGGGGTTCAGTTCATTCTCGAACGTGCGCGAGAAGGCCAGTGCGATGTCTTCGGCCTTGACGCTGTTGTCCTGAGGGGACGGGGCGGACAGCTTTTTCAACAGCGGGGCGATCGAGACGTGCTTTGGCGGCGGGGGGTCGGCCATGGCAGCGGAAACAAACGTGTGTGGACGATTTCTTTTCGAGGTTTTGGCTCTTTTGGACGACTACACAAATAGAAGCGGGAAGCTAGATACAGAAGGTATATATTTGTTGCGCTGGGCTGATGAGTCAAACAGCATGTGGTTGCGGGGCACAGCTTTGCTTTTCGAGGTTTTGCTGTGGAGAAAGAAGCTTGCAACTTCGCTGAACCCCTGATTGCTTGGCAGGGCAATGGAATCCAGCCTCGTTCAGCCTTGTCACTCCTCATGTACAGAGCAACTTTTGTGTTTTACTACGGAGCAGTTAGGTAAGGTTCGTTACTTGATGAAACCTTAGACCCATGATACGAGAGGGTAGAGGTCAAAGAAAGACCCGGAAGTGTGCTACCACTTAGTTCGTACAATTGATGACCTTGCAGGAAAGCCATTCAAAGTGTGCCGCGGAGGCCTCGGGACATCAGTGCGTTAGGCACGTCAGTCTAAGCGTCCCCTGGGGAAGTAAAAAGTCTTACCTATTATGAGATTCTGGGAGGACAGGGATTTTGTGTTATCTACCGGGCTGTGTGTTCAATGGAATCCTTGAATCTTTCACACTCGTTTGGCATAGCTAATCATCCCGCAAAATTTGGCACCGGCTCACATGCAGAGGAATGGCAACGCTCAGTCCGGATCCGGAACAGATCGTCACCCTCCGCACCAGTGGCAGAGTCGCCATCATAACACTCAATAACCCCCAGAAGCTCAATGCCATGAGGCAGCAAGATACATTCCGGCTCTCCTGTCTCTTGCGACAAGTAGCGGCTATGCCGGAGATCACGATCACCATCATCACTGGGAAAGGACGGTTCTTCTGCGCCGGCGGCGACGTGACATCTCGGCGCCCCGGAATGGATGATGACCACAGAAAGAAGACACATGAGATCCGCGAGCAGACTCTGCGCAGCTTCGTGGCTAACACATTCGACGCCACTCAATCCTTCTGCGCCCATCCAAAAATCTTAGTTGTCGGACTCAATGGGCCCGTGGTCGGGCTTCATGCGGGTCTTGTAGGGTTTGCGGACTTTGTGTATGCAGCGCCTCATGCCTACCTTCTCGCTCCCTTCACGAGTCTGGGCCTGGTCACCGAAGGTGGCGCCAGTGTTGGACTCGTCCAACGCCTTGGTTTCCCCCTGGCCAACGAAGCCCTCCTCACGTCCCGCAGGGTACCCTGCGAGAAGCTGCTCCAGTGCGGATTCGTCAACAAGGTATGCCGCGGGAAAAATGACTCCGACTCGGATGGCTTCCTGGAGCAAGTCCTCAGAGAAGTGAATGAAAAATTTGGCGATCATTTGAATCGGGAAAGTGTGCTGAGAATCAAATCCTTGGTTCAACGGCCTGTCCTGGACAGAATAGAGGCTCAGGCCGTTCGAGAAGTCGCCGACGGCATGCAAAGGTTTGTTGACGGCGCACCTCAGGTGGAATTCAAAAGAGTTGCCGAAGGGAGGAAGAGACACAAGCTTTGAGGTGCGAGACTTGATATCAGGCGTCCTTACCAAAAGTTCGTCAGGAGCGAGGATGTATCAGAGCTGCAACGTATTAAGCATCGCTATCCCGTGTGCCATAACCTGGTCTCCGCAGTTACAAGCTCAGGAGCTTGTTTTGATCATGCTTCATCACAGCCGGGCGTCCACTCGCCAGGAGAGCGCCACTGGGACAGAAATACATCTAGTTCTCTGCGAAAAGAGCGAGCCAGGCCGTCTGGTATGCCCTGTTGAATGGCCAGTCTGTAAAGGTCAGACTTGACATCTGCCATGGCCCTCAAATCCTCCAGACTCCACATCTGGGCGAGGACGGTTTGGTACGCGCTTTCAACGAGCTGTCTCTGCATGGGAATCTTCATCCTTTCAATCCTCCATTTGAAGAAGTGCTCCATGGCGGTATCTTCTCCGTCCGCTTGGACAAGAAGGCTTAGCTGTGTGGCTGGTTGCACCGATCTGTCACCAGTTGCTGGAAATAGCGAAGGGTGGAGTTGCCCAAGAGCCCCGATTTCCTGCAGGTTTAGAACTCCCCCAGAGGAGGGATTCATCGGTGCTCTGAAAGTGGAGGCTGGTGGTGGACATACCCCTATTTGCGGCTGGCCGATTGTCATCTTCGTTGGCTGTGGACTGTAAACAATGCGCCCCTCATTGTTGGCGTACTCACATTCCGCCGCACTTGACATGTCCCTACGACAGAGGCTCATCTTTGACAGCAGATCAACCTCCGAGGGAGTCATCGCACCAAGCTGTGATAGGCATGAAAAGATTCCTGTCCCTGAAAAGAGCGACTTCTCGAAGTCCGGTCTGAAACTGATGGGAGGGGGGATCTGGTGCTCAATCGAGGGCAGAATGTTGAACTTCAAGAAGGCAGCCTCAAGCTTTGAAGACAAGAAATCGTCTGATGCACCCTCGTCTCCGATCGAGTCCAATATGTGCATACAATCGTAATACTTTTCTAACCTGCTTCTTCGCGGTTTCTCCATCTCTGGCATGACATCTTGAAGATGAACAAGCATTATCGGAAGCAGTAAAGTGACCCCTCTAGGACTCATGTGTGTTCCCATTTCGAGGTTCTTGATGGATATTGCAACATGCGCCACTTCCTCTGCAGTGTCCCGTAGTTTTGTCTGTGACAGTTGCTGGTATGTTGGCGGTAGCGTTCCGGCGGTTTCTGAAATCTGGGGCCTGTGGAGCGCGATCATCGCTGAGAGGAACAGTAGCTTCAGATGTGCTCTATGCATCGCAATAACATTAGAGCTCCTCATAAACGCAGAATCCGCAGGGTCGCGAAGGTCAAATTTACCAGCGTCCGAGAGGCCACGATACCATTCTTGAAGTTGGCGGTCGAGCTCGAGGATCTCGAAAGCATTGCCGGTAGAACGCCTTGGGACAAGAATCGTCATCATTCGACTATCTGATTCGTACCGACGACTTGAATACCGTGCTTGCAGAATCTCATTTATGCAGACACATAGTTTTGCCTTTTCAATGCAGAGCGTTGCTAGGCGAATCCTGCTCCTCTTATTATCGATGAAATCCCACTCTTTGATCAAACGGGACACAGCAGGAGAGAAATCCTGCATCTCGAAATCGTCGAGTTCAAGCATAGGTAAGTGGCGATACCGCGCACCGAGTTGCGGTGGAGTCCAGGTCATGAGCGCAACAAACTGATCGCGCATGAAACAACACCACCACAATCTCTTGAACATTCGGTGTTGCCTTGTCTTGCAAAATTCAAGATTCAGGTCCAGGCCGAGATCCTGGGAAAGGGTCACAGCCACACGAATCCAAAACTTGCGGTCTTTATGCGTTTCTCGGGCATCGTACCAGTATGTCATCAACAGGAAGGCCTGTACAAACGAAACACGATCGATTTCGCAGTCTAGATCGTAGAGCAACTTTCACGATTAGAATCGGCCGTTCCTCAGCATTGAGGACTTACCCGTGCTCTTTCGAAGAATGCGCTTCGAGCAAGCTTTCTCGAGTTGAAACCCAGCTTCCTCAAGACTTGCATGTCGACGTGTGCGGCTCCAGAGCACATGACAGCGTAGAAGAGTAACAAGCTGACCTTGTCCTTTGGATCATTTTCGAGCATTGGCCCCAAAAAGGTTTCCACATCGAGTAGAGGTAGTAATGGGTACCCGAACAAGAAGTAGCTGCGCAAGAGTTCGTTCCGACAGTGGGCATTGGGTATGTCGAAGACTCCCTTGTGCTTCAGGTAAGCTGTATCTTCAGGACTTAGGTCGGGGCTTAGAGGTCTGATGAAATCCGGCAACTTGATTTCGGATAACTCTGTTGAAGCGGATATAAGATCGTTAAAGAGCATTGAATCATGATCGCCCACCCGATAGACGGATTCACCATTTGAAGAGATGGGTTTCGAAAAACGCCGCTTTGCTGGCCGTGAAGGCTTGCTCTTGCCAGGCATGCATTCGATCGCGTCAAGACGACAATTGGTGCAAGTGGACCCAAGAATCCTCCTGTCACATCTCATCTTTCGACTTTGGCAGTATCTGCATGCCTGAGTTGTCCGCTTGAAGGCGGGTGCAGGCGGTTGGGATCCAGATTGACGGGGTAGCATTTTGACAGCTACTTCGGCGGGCTGGGAGGAGAGAATAAGGGATAGTCGATGTCTCCGACCTCGGACTCAAGCTATGCTAGGTAGAAATGGCTGTCGTACCTATAGGCAGATACAGGCGCGACAGGCATTGGTGTCGAAATGATGACTGCAAAGACCAACAGCTTGAGGCGAGGTTCAAAATTGCATCGGTAGGCAAAGTGGTCCACAATGCGGCCCCGCTCTGGTCACGACATCAACTTCCACATTAGTGGTCACGTCTTCTGCAGACTCAAGTATTACTCCGCACAGGGCTGCACTATCCCTTTTTGGGAAGGTATGGTCTGCCCGCCGCGGAGGCCTCGGGGGAATCCCTCAGCCTTGCACGGGGGTTGTCATGGATCCCCACACAATTCTCGGTAAAGCATTCTATGGCTCTGTGAAGAAAATGCTCCGCCTTGGTCCTAGTCTTCTCCATCTTTCGAGGCTATCTTTGCCGCACAGCCGAAATGCGTGTTGCAGTTGCAACCGCGGCTTTGGAGATAGGAAGGTTCCTCCTCGAGCAAAATTGTTTCACGGAAAGGCTTTGGCAAAGAGATAAGCCTATCTTGTTTCAAACTCAGACCTCAAATCGCATACAGATATATTTAGACCGACTTGGCTTCTCGTTTGTTTTCAGCTTCTGCAAACAGCTTCATACTACTATAAACCATGCCGTATTTGGCGCAGGAACACTATCCGATTCCGGGAACAGATTTGCTAACATGGATGTTTGACCATCGCGCTCCTTATGATGAAGATAAACCGGTATGAGAAAAGGCCAGCGATGCTATCCTGACGTGATAGAAGTACGGTCTCGTTTGCTCACCGGTGACCATAGATATACATCGATGCATCGAAGCCTTCCCGATCGATATCCTGCCGGCAGGCTCGCAAGATGGTCCGGGAGCTTGCAGCCGGATTCCGCAATATCGGCTTGAAAAAGGGGGATTGTGTCTGTGTCATAGCTTTCAACGATGTATGCTTCGCTGGGTGTTTCTTCCCTTGTCTTTGCACCCACCCATCGCTTCAAAGCTCTTCAATTAAATTGCTATCACTCATACTGTATTTGGGAACCTCTACTGAACAAAGGTTGCAGATCTATTATTCCATGGTCTTCCTTGGAATAATTGCCGCTGGTGGAATCTTCTCTGGTGTAAACCCTTCCTATACGGTCTTCGAACTGGTCCACGCCATTCGCACTGCAGATATTACGCATCTAATCGTCGAACCTGAGTTCCTTCCCAAAGCTTTGCTTGCGGCAAAAGAATGCTCCCTTCCTCCATCAAACGTCTTCGGCTTCGACATTCAGAATCAGAGCATTCCAAAGCAGCTGGGGGTTCAAAGCTGGACCGTGCTGCTGCAAAGCGGACAGATGGATTGGGAACGGTTCGACGACGAAAAGCAAAGCAAGGAGACCATAGTTGCGAGGCTGTTCAGTAGCGGGACGACGGGTATGCCAAAGGCGTTGGGCATATCGGTCTGGAACCTCGTGAGTTAACTGGGTTCGTTCAGCTAGAAAGTCATTGAAGCTGATCAGGCTTTAGGTCGCACAACACATTGTGGTGATGGAAGTCAGGCCTCGGCCGTACGAGGTTAGCACCTGTAAACTCCTCAACATCTTGATACTGACCATGCCCAGGTTCGCCGCCTGATCTCCAACCCTCTTTTTCACGTATCACAGGTGCCTCGAGTCCATACGAGCGCAATAAAAGCCGGGATTCCCACTCACGTCATGCGCCGTTTCGAGCTTGAGCTGTGGCTTTCCAATATTTCCAGGTACGACATCACCGAAGTGAACATTGTTCCGATGATGGTCATCAGTCTCCTTACATCGGGCCATCTCGACTCAGGGAAATATTCGTTGAATACCCTTAGAAATGCTTGGTCTGGCTCCGCGCCTCTTGACAAGAGTCTTCAATTTCGCTTCAAGAAGTATTTGCGGCCGGATACTCCCTTCAATCAAGCCTGGGGAATGAGCGAAACCACGTGCTTGGCGATATGGTTTTACTATCCAGAGCAGGATTCTACCGGAAGCGTTGGGAGACTGTTACCCAACTGTGACGCAAAGATTGTTGACGACGACGGAAATGATATCACCGAAGTCAGGGGACCCGATGGAATGAATGTCAGAGGCGAATTGTGCATTCGAGGTCCTATCATCGTAAAGGGATATTACAAGAACGAAGAAGCAAATAGACGAGATTGGGACCAAGATGGTTATTTCCACACAGGAGATATTGCATACTGCGACTCGGAGACAAAGAAGTGGTATATCGTTGATCGCAAGAAGGTGCGTCTCCGTCGTCGTCGTCAGCTTTCAGTGTCGAGGACTAGGAGGTGGCTGACCCTACCCTTACAGGAACTCATCAAAGTCCGTGGATTCCAAGTTGCACCCGCCGAACTCGAGGCTGTACTCCTTCTCCATCCTAACATCGTGGACTGTGCAGTCGTTGGGGTTCAGGCATCAATCGACGAATCTGAGCTTCCGCGAGCATATATTGTAGTACGACCGGGCACGACTGTTACAGAGGCCGAAATCAGAGAATTCACCAAAGACAAATTGGCACGGTACAAGCAGTTTGATGGTGGCATAAGGTTTATAGACAAGGTGCCAAGGAACGCGAACGGCAAGATCCAAAAATCGGAGTTGAGGCAGCTGGTGAAGAAGGAATTGAACGCTAGATTATGATGGAGGCAAATGGCTGGCAACGTCCTCTTGTTTCAGCGCTTCAAGACAACAATAGAAAGATGAATAGAAGATGGAGGTATATTTGCTGAGAGCTGGTCCGGGTCCTGCGAAGAGTCAAGCTCCACGCGATTCCTGATTATTATTCGAAGGCTTCGCCCACTGTGTTGACCACGAAGACGCTGCTCCCGAGACTGCCAATCACACTGAGTATCCGTGCATCTCCTCAGCAAACACCCTCAACCTAATACACGTATCTGAATTGCTTGTTCTTCCTATCCGTCAAATCATCGTTGTAGGCATGCTCGAAAGCCTCCGTCATTCCACTCTCGTCTCGCTTTGAATTTTCGTACTTGCAGACGAATAGATATATGATGGCTAAAACCACTGCTGCGGCAAGACCTGCTACGATGACCGCAAATGCCTCAGCGTAGACAGGAGCATCCTTCGTTTTGAAGAGCAGTGGCCCGGTGAAGTTGCCAAGACACCAAGCAATGAACAGTCCAGCTGCTGTAACACTGCGCTTTGTGTAGCCTGCTGTATTGGCAATCTGTAGGCCCATGAGGATAGCGTACCCACCACCGAAAGCAGGGAGAATCTCAATGGCGAACAGGAGACCACCTTTAGCGGATCGGGGTAATTGCCATAGAAGCAGGCAGCTCAACATAGTGGTACAAACGCAGATGACGAAGAGGTAGATCCGGATCCCCTTAAACCGGTATGCCAGATAACATACAAGTAGTTCGATTGTCCCGGATACGAACCCAGCGGGAACAACCAGCAACAGGGAGTTGAGCGTCGAGTAACCAAAGCTGTGGACAATAATAGGCGCCATCGTCGCGTTCGCTCCATTGGCAAAGAACATGAGGAAGGTCGTGCAGAAGAGCAAGAGGAATCTAATATCTGTCAAAGCGTCGAAGACTTGAGATGGCTTGAAGTGTATGTTGCGAACACCAGCATTGTTGACTCTGAGACGTGCAACAGCAATATAACGCTCGCGATCTGTGAAATCTTTGGCACGAATAGGGTCAGGTGGCAGGAAGTATAGCACAAAGATCGAGAGTAGTGTCGTGACGCCGCCGGCGAATAGATACATATACTGCCAAGACTGCAGAGAACCTCCTGTGATGTGGCCAAGTCCGTAGTTGATTAGTGGCGAGACGATGGAAATGTAGCCTAGACGGATTCGAAAATTAGCTGGGTCACACCTTCTGATACTTCTGTTAGTGGGTGTGACGAACCGGTACAGCTATACCAAGCTCCCATTCTCAAAGCTTGTTCATCCTTCTTGTACCAACCTCCCACGACGAGCATGAAAATCGGCGAAATGCCAGCTTCGATGACACCGAGGAAAAACCTCTGGGTATAGAAGCTGCCATATGTTTTGCAAGCAGCACTGCACATGACAGTAACTCCCCAGACGAAGGTGATACCTGCAGCGACGCGCTCAATGGGCCAACGCTGAGCCATCATAATGGCAGGGTATGCGCCCATGATGAAGCCAAGGTAGAAGATAGAAGAGGAGAAAACAAAGCGGTTGCCAATGTTGAGATCGAGATCCTTTTCTAGTCCGAACAGGGCCTATCGCATTTAGTAAAGTGTAGACTGGCACTGTCGTAAATTACTTACTGCTTGTGCCTGTAGAGCTTGTCAGCGAATGTCGTTATCTAAGTCCCTCGATTCCAAGTCTCACCAGCATTGCTTTGTCATAGAACTGGACCCCGTAAACCAGGCAAAGGACTGGTAACAACCGTATATCGATCTTTTGGACAAGCCTTTTCTCTTCTTGCTCAGTCCAATGATCGTCCCCCCCGACGCCAGCAATAACTTTGAGTGCTTCATCACCGTGAATGGTGTCAATAGCTGAAGGTTTCTGATAATCATCGGCTACCGATTCCGTTGTTCGAGGAACTGTCTTAGGTTCGTCCACATGGTGAATGTCCGTCTTGTTCGCCATAGAATAGTGCTGTAGGTTGAATGTCCTTTAAAGGTAGATATAGTCCAACAGAAGGACGTAAATGTGTGCAAGAGGAGGGAAAAGGGTCGACATCCACGAACTTTATATATTGCTAAACTTTGACCAAAAATGGATACTCATTGAAGGCTTAGTGCCATGAGATGCCGAGGACTCAAGGCACCCAGACCGAAAAAGAGCGGATGCAGACATGATATCTTTCGCCAATGCAGAATACCTAGAAGTTAATTGTGTATTTTGTTGAGAGTTGCCTGGGGAAGAGAAGACCCCATGTTGCGAGGTATCATCTGATTTGGCGGGCCAAAGCGACAGTGTTTGCGCCGCTAATCTGCTCCTGGTGGCCCCATTTTTCTCGCAGAAGACCGAGGACTCCTCGGGCAATCACCATTTGTTCACGTCGGTCCCAAATAGTATCAGACTCTGGGTACCTGTATAGAAGATTTGTTGCAAACATGATTGCCAGGGATTAACCCGATGTCACCTTCATTGCTGCAAGCTCACACACTGTACAAAGGAAGAAAACAACTTTCCTTCTGATGCAGAGTAGAAACCTATCATCATGACTTCCCATCCGATCTTACTGCTCGGTGGATTAAACAGCAAAGCTCACTGAGGGCCAACCTGACATACTCTGCAGAAAGAAGCTCATGTATATGTATATCGTCAAGTGGTCTTCACGACACGCACTGGACGACCAAGGTTTTAACTTGCCGGCCTTGATGATTTTGCAGGAGACAGAAAACCGCTCTCGCCGCTTTATACATCACGGTATGATGATGAGCTAACCTAAAATGGGAAAACGCGATATAAAATCAATGAGGTCATGAAAGTGGCACGACGACCTGCCTTAGGTGTCCTTCCCGCCCACCGAGCTTGGAACTTCCTCGAAATGAAATCGACCGATGTTGGCCATGGTACGCATCCAGTTGAACACATCAGGAGATTGGTCTCCAAGGCGGCGTTGGGTTGCCAATTACCTTTTCTTACAAACATTCGGGGAGAAGGCAATGTACTTCTAGCACCAGACGGTTCAGACCGTTACCGCCTTAGCTGGGATCAGATTCAAAAGCATTCGAATACTTTGAATCTCGGGGTCCTTTTTAACGGCAAGTCATCCGAGCTACCGACCTTTTCTTTCCAGCAAATGTGAGAAAAGCCTCGGATGAACAATGGAGAATAGTGAACAGGCCACTAGCCCTGAGGGAGCCTCCAGGGTTTCAACGAGAACCACATCTCGTGTACTATCCAGGGACTACGCGGAGCAGAATCTATCGAGATCGCCTTCCCAGAATCAATCTCGTGCTAGATACGCCGAATTCAATTTTGGCCCAGCGACACTGCGTCATCGCATCAGTAGCCTACAAACGAGTCCGAATCCAAGTCCTGGCCCAGCACGAACTTGGGGGAGAGATTATGCTGAATCCAGCAGAAGATCTGTCGCAATTGCAGCGCCTTCTTCAGCCCGAGGGGATGCTACTGATGCTGCGTCCCGCAAATTCTCTCTGGCAGGTCCACCACCTTTGGATACCTTAGCCGCCAACCAACCATATATTGATCCGGGATATGCACAACTCAACCCTGCGTATGATCAGCCAATGAATGTCCGACCAGTATGGGGTCTAGCCAAACCATTGCCTCGTGTGCTGAGACCTGGTATGGTTCCAGCGAAGGACGAGCTCGAGAAGGACGTCCAAGAGGAAGAAAGAGAGGCCCAACAGCCGCTGTCGACAGACGTTGAAGCTGGCAGAATTGAACCCTCACTTATGCCCGACAAGATATCCTCTCAGTTGGACACTATCCGACGCGAGAGAGAAATATCTTTATACCGAGCTTACCAGAACCAATACCAAGAGTCGCCGGGATTTTCACCATTTGGCGCAGGTAGAAGACCTTCAGATACACCAACCGAAACACTCCATAACCGGATTCGACCGGAAGATACGATTGAGGAGGAAGCGGGTTCCGAGCCACAACAGCCGGAACATGTCGAGCCGCCAGAGCTGTCATTGCCCGAGGCAGTAACGAACGTGAAGCAAGCAAGGGGGGAAGAGGAACCGAAATACGTACCCTACGAAGATGCAGTTCCTTTGGCAGCTTACAAGGCCGAGGACGAAGAAGTCCATAATTTGCATACATATTGGTCGATTATTCGGCTACGCTTTCGAGAGCCGTTGGCCGAGCTTCTGGCAGTACGTCACATTTGCCTTACCTTACCTTTCCACTCTCCCATGTTGCTTTGAGGCTGCTGAAAATATGAAAGTCAATCATCTCACTGACATTGGCTTCCCCGTTCACAGATCATGGTTCAATACACACTCGGTTTCAGCGCAAACCTGTCAATGACTGTTTCTCGTGGCTCAGCTGGCGCCAACGATACAGGAACCTGGGCATGGGGTCTTGCGACTATGATAGCCATCTACATCGCCGGCGGGATATCCGGCGCTCACCTGAATCCGGCAATATCGCTCATGTTCTACATCTACCGGGGTTTCCCATTGCGCAAAGTCCCCGTCTATGTCGCTGCACAGATGCTCGGTGCTTTCCTCGCGGCCTTGATTGCATTTGGTATCTTCCGACCAGGTCTCATCGCTCTAGAACTAGATGTGGCGCAAGAGCAACAACAACTTCTCGTGGAACAGAGGCCAGTTGCAGGTGCCAGATCGACTGCAGCTTTACCACTGGCGCCATCAGTGTCAACGGTAGTGTTATCCAACTTCCTCACATTCCCACGGGCCCCTTGGGTTGATAGCAGCATTGCATACCTCGCCGAACTCATGGGTACAACCATCCTCACTATCTCGGTGCTCGCACTGGGCGACGACACCAATGCCCCTCCCGGGGCTGGAATGAATGCCTTCATAGTCGGCCTGCTTGTCACCGTCCTCGGCATGGCGTAAGTACCGGGTCTTCTTCTTCCTCTTCTCCGTTTTATCCGCCTGCTCCTATTTTCTGATGTCTTGCTGTCGCTTGGGCAAATCCCTTCACCAAGCAAAGCAACGACATCGCCTCCGAAGAGAAAGAAACAACCTGAGGTTGAGTGACAACAGATGAACGCAAGTGCGTGCACTGGCTGACTTCTCTACGTATTCGTCTTTATAGATTCGGCTACATCACGGGTCTAGCTATGAACCCAGCCCGCGACTTTGGCCCCCGCCTTGCTATGCTCGTTCTCGGCTACGGCACCCCCAAAACCCTCTTCGCTGACGGTTACTGGCTTAAGGTGGCATGGTTAGGTCCTATTGTCGGTGCAATCTTGGGCGGGTTTCTTTATGACGCAGCTATATTTGTTGGCGGCGAGAGTCCCGTGAATTATCCCACGAGACGAATTCGACGGGCTGCGCGGAAGTGGAGGAAGCGGTGGAAAGCGAGGATGAATTTTCGACGAACAAAAAGGTGAACCTTGTATGCCAACAGGGGATTTTTTGTGACCTGGAAGTGTAAAGGGATACGGGCTTGCTGTTGACGAATAAAGCTGGTGAGAATCGCGGATGATATTATGGTGGCGTTCCTCGCTGTAACGAGGACATTTAGGGGGTCAATGGTAATGATGTGACGCTCTAGCCTGAGGGAGGATTATCTGCCAGACAGCTTTTGAAAATGAAACATAGTCGAGATAGGCCATGTACGGATTTTCATCATGTCATTTGCCATAGTCTTCGCTCCCCCTCTTCCTTGCTCTTAGAAAGACAGGGGTTCCTCGGAAGAATAATGTACATCGAGAAAAGGCAGCCAGCACAATCTTCAACATCAAGCTAAGCGAATTCCAAGATGATGCAGACAGTCACGTAGGAACGGTGGCAGAGGAGAAAAACTGACACTTCCACGCATATACGATCCGCACTAGCGATGGTTGTCACGTGATTGCTCTAGGTAGCCGAGTCTTGGCGAAATCTCAGCTCCGACGCCCGAACATCAGACAGTGCTACGTTTAGGCGACAGGATAAGACGGATTCTCTGATTCCCATCAACCCTCACCTGCACGGCATTTCACTGGAGATCTATCTCGATACTTCATTATTCAAGGACCCTTGTAACGACCTGGTTTGCCAAGAATATTTTCTGTTACTTTCTCATGTGCTGGCTGCACAGATCCAACTTCAATCGCCAATGTTCTCGTCCGCGTTCAAATCCTTCACCTCGAATATAACATCCAATTATGAACTGTCAAAACATCCGAATGCAACTGTAGGGGTATGGACCATTTTTGATGCGAAGAAGAAGAACAGTGGCGCTCAAGCGTCGATTTTCATCTTTGACAGGAAATCGCTGGATGTCACCAGCAGTGGGTTTGGAGCACGTGCTACAAGCGCCACGTCGGTGCGCAAGATTCAAGATGAAGTAGTGGAACGTCTGAAGAAGGAAGCCAGCAGTCTGGCTCGTCTCCGGCATCCCTCCATTCTGCAACTGGTCGAACCCGTTGAGGAAACCCGCAGTGGAGGGCTGATGTTTGCGACAGAGCCTGTCTTGTGCTCATTATCTGCCGCCCTGGCAAAGAAGGACCGGAATGGCAATGGGCCGGGTAGGGGCATCTCGCGGTCCACGTCTAATGATGGAGCCATCTCTAGAGCACAGCAAGACGTGGAAATCGACGAATTGGAAATCCAGAAGGGGCTGCTGCAGGTCGCCAAAGGGCTGGAGTTCTTACACGACTCTGCTAAGCTTGTTCATGGCAACCTGACTCCGGACGCCATCATGATCAATGCCAAGTCAGATTGGAAGATCTCCGGACTCGGGTTTGCCGGGCCGCCTGACGGAGCAGAAGGACATCAAACCGTCCCTCAAATTTCTCTCGCTGAAGTGCTCCACCATGACTCGCGAATCCCTCGAACAGTCCAATTGGACCTCGATTATACTTCTCCCGATTTCGTGCTCGACTCGAATATCAACTTCTTAGCCGACATCTTCTCACTGGGCCTAGTTATTCTTGCATGCTACAGACATCCGCACAGGTCGCCTATTGAAACCCATGGCAATCAGTCAACGTACAAAAAGATCTTCAGCAGCGTTTCCACTGTCCCAACCAGCGCTAACAGCTACCTATGCGACGGCCCCTTACCGCGGGAGTTGAATGTCACTTTGCCGAGAATGTTAACTAGAAGACCGGCTCAGCGTATGACCGCAAGCGAATTCCAGCAATCACAATACTTCGACAATATTTTGGTGAACACCATGAGGTTCTTGGACGCTTTCCCAGCTAAGACTCCTGCAGAGAAGTCACAATTCATGAAAGGCCTTGGTCGAGTCCTGCCTCAATTTCCGCCTTCCGTACTTGGGAAGAAGATCCTTAGTGTTCTACTTGACGAGATGAAGGACCGAGACATCCTACCCCTGGTCATGCACAATATCTTCCAGATAGTCAAAGTCGTTCCGTTCAGCAAAGAGGTTGTCTCGGACAATATCCTACCGCGAATGAGAGAGGTATTCTTGTCAAAATCGAAATCGGAAGAAAGGGATGGCGGCAAAGAGGCTGCTTTACTGGCGGTTCTTCACAATATTCAACTCATTGCCGACAACTGCTCTGCGAAGCAGTTCAAAGATGATGTCTTGCCCATCGTTCATGTGGCCATGGAGTCATCCACTCATTCACTTACCGATGCTGCTTTACAAACATTACCGGCTGTTCTCCCATTAATCGACTTCTCAACAGTCAAACATGATCTCTTCCCAGTTGTGGCTAGCGTTTTCAGTAAGACCAACAGCTTGACCATTAAGATTCGAGGTCTTGAGGCGCTCGGTGTACTCTGCGGCGTCTCGCCCAACCAAACGGAAAACAACATTGACGACTTTTCCGGAAAGGGCCGCCAAGAGAAGCAAGACAAGAATGTTTCTAGTTTGGACAAGTTTACCATGCAGGAGAAAATCGTCCCCCTCTTGAAAGCTATCAAAACAAAGGAGCCAGCAGTCATGATGGCGGCTCTGAAGGTGTTCCGACAGATCGGTACCGTTGGCGACACTGATTTCTTAGCCATCGAAGTGATGCCCATCCTCTGGAATTTTTCTCTTGGGCCCTTGCTTGACCTGTCCCAGTTCAGCGCGTTTATGGATGTCATCAAATCACTGTCGAGCAAAATTGAGCGCGAACAGATCCGTAAACTGCAAGAACTGTCTTCGAATAGGGCTCTTGAGCCAAGGGCCGCGTCCTCGTCACACACGCAGATTGGCAACGGTCTTCCTCAACCTAATCAGGTCGCAGGTACAGAAGACGACTTTGAGAAGCTCGTGCTCGGAGATAAGAATACTGACAAGGTCGACGTCTTTGCAGGCGCTCTTTCTGATGGGCAGAAGTTGACCCAAAATCCGCCTTCCTTCTCCTGGGCTCCAGTAGATGTCACCGCCAACCCGAATCCAATGGCGCATCAAATGCATCCGTCATTGCCTGTTCTTCAACCACAACCTCTATCTCGCTCAATCACTCCGGATGTCGGCGCCTCGGTGTTTCCAAGTCTTCAACCTACCCAACCATCCTCGGTCTCCATTTGGGGGACATCTTCACCTTCTCCTGTGCATTTGCAGAATCAGCAGCAGGTGCTGCAACCGTCGAGTTATCTTTCTAATCCTGTAAGCAGCATCTCTCCGCCGACGGTGACATCAAATACGACTTGGCAGCTTCCGCCGCCTCCGGGACCGCAAGGGTCACCTAATCCGGAATTCACGCCTATGATAGCTCCGCCTCCTGCAGGTAACAGTCAGAGAATCGTTTGGCCACAACCAAATTACAATAATTTCGGGGCGTCCTCGCAGCCGGCGCCTAGATTCAGCGCGTCCATGAATGTATTACAACCGCAGAAGGCTCAGCAGCAAACGACCCAACAGCAGAAAACAGGTTTAGACAAGTACGAATCTCTGCTCTGAAATCAGCCCCGCAAAGTGACCGGAAAGTTGGAGAGTCGCTCTGTGCCATTGTTGGTCTGCTACGGGCGGCAATTACAGGATCGACACACGCGAAGTTGGAAGGAGACGCGATTCCTTCGCATATCGTTGGACTTTTTTGAGAGGATCCGTATGGCCTTCGGATTGGCGGAAGCAACCCGACAAATTTGGATCATAATTATTTCGCCTTGTGCAACAAAATGATACGACCTGCCAGCCTCGCAATGGAATTGGACTGGCAATCCTTTTGGTGGAATTCTAGGTAGATCGGCAGATTGTGCCTGACACGAAGCCCCACCAATGGAATTGTCGCCATCACCGGAACCCTCCCTCAAGCGACCGCGTTCCTGGGGAGCGTTTGGGCCGGTAAAAAGCTGCATCGAAGCTTTCCCCTTGGCACCTGGTCTGCTGCTTAATGCAAGCCAATCGTCTGAGCACGAGGTATCATCTGATTATCTGATTAACCTCGTTTGGTTTCTCGATATATGCTTCGGACGACGCTCATTGTCGCTGCGAACAACAACCATCCACCGTGGCTTTACATCATGATCAGGCGCGGGAAATCTATCGACTCGGGACTATGACAGTTCAACACGATCCTTCTACTTCTTACGTCTTAGTTCTTGGATGGTTGCGGAGCCTTGCTAGCCTACGGAGAGCTATGAGCTTGTGCTATTAAGCCGCCGCGCTCTCGCGACTTGGTGAGCTTAGCACTTGTCTCTCAGGCTCTGGAAACTCCTTTTCCCTTGGCATTAACCGCCAAACTCTCCTGCAATTATCCAGATATGAGGTGCTCATTTCTGTCTGCTGCTCTAGCAGCCTCGGCCTTTCTCGGCCCCTTTTCGGCCATTTCTATCCTCCTGGGCAACGATGACGGCTTTGGAAGTGCTCAAATTCGAGAATTCTACCGCTTGTTGAAGGAGAGCGGCCACCAAGTTGTCATGGTAGCCCCGGCTGACAACGAGAGTAGCCAGGGTGGTCGATCTGTCTTCACGACCAACAAGTCGCTTGCTGTCAACTCGAAGTTCAACCTCAACCCCCCCCGGTGCACCATCGCTTGGTCGGGACCCTAACGACGCAGACATCTGGTACTACAACGGCACGGCAGCGGCATGCACCTTTGTTGCGCTCGACTACGTCCTTCCCAACTTCTATTCCAATCGATCTATTGATCTCTACGTGGACGGCCCGAACTTCGGTCTCAACCAGGGCTACTTTTTTTATACGTTGTCCGGGACTATTGGTGAGTTATGCTTTTCAATTCACTCACTATCCTGCGTATTCACTTATCATTCGTTACATTCATTCGTTATCCTTTGCATTACTTGTCATCCTTTCCAGAACATCTTTTTGATTTACTTGAAACTTACCAAATCCTCGGCCACAGGTGGTACATTTGCTGCAATCCAGCGAAACATTCCAGGAGTCGCCTTCTCCGGAGGCGACAGCGAGCAGCGTTCTTACGCGTGGATCAACAAAACCACGGCCTCTGGCTACCCTGACCCGGCTACAATTCAAGCCCAGCTGGCCACCAACCTTGCCAACCAGCTAGTCAATAGCTCTCAGGGTGCCAGGCCGCTGATGTCTGCTGGCTTCGGACTCAAGTAAGCTTTCCAACCGATATGGATCCAGCCCACCGATCATTGCAGGATGTACTAAAACTGGGCCAGCGTCAACACCCCCGTCATCACTTCGCCGACCAATGACTCCTGCGTGAACCCTCCATCCATCCAGACACGGCTGGGCGGCGGTGCCACGACCGACAAAGCTGTCTACAACGCAACCACGGGAATATTCACGTAGCAGATCCTGATCACGGACGGCAACAACGTCTGCATCAACGGCAACTGCGCCTTGCCCGGTGAGACTCCCGTCGTGGACAACGGATGCTATGGTTCAGTGTCCGTCTTCTCGATTGACTATGATGCTCCTATGGGACCGGCGCAGCACGGTCTCCGAGCGGCGTTGCAACCGTTGGTGGCGTACGAGAACCCGGATGCGAAGATGATGCTGAAGGCGAGAGAGTCGATGAGTAGTAAGTCAATTCTCCCCGTAAAATGTGGGGCCCTTCTCTGGAGGGGCCCCAACGCCAGGCTTGATTGTGACTTTGAATCTTTGCTGACCTGCGTTTGTAGGGGAGGATGCTGCTGCACGACACCCTCTTCGCCAAGCATGAAGCATAGTCGAGACCATGAAGACTAGACCAGACGGGATAGAAGTGCAATGAGGAATGTCGGCGCACATAACTCCCCAAACGAAACTGTTTACTCATCCCTTGCACAGCCACGTAATGGTCGTTGGGCCAAGAGTCCGTTGATACGTTCAGAAACTGTATATAAACTCAAGACCCGTTCTTCCATCCGTACAGTACAAACCGGTCATAATTCAAGTTACATTCCCATCCCGAGTCGATTTCGGCGCATAGATACAACCCCGCCGCGCTGGTGGTCATGCTTTAGAACAAGTCCAGACAGAAAGACGATTGTTTGACGGTATGGTGCCCCAGGAAGGGAGTTGTCGAGCTTCCCCACCTCACGTGAGCCAAACCGATTGGGAAGCCCAATGCGATCCTGGACTTTCAGGAGATGACAGCCTTGCCTTGGCTTGCAATGGCCTTACCTTGTCTGAACAGGGACTCGCGGAAAGGATGAAGTCCGCCAGTTGGTTAGGCAAATGGCGCGGTGCTGGCCTACTGTGGACCAGGTTTGAAAGCAGACATTCCTGATGAGCCTTCCATCTGGACAATTAATTGAGTTCGACTGCCTCTTCTTGAAAAGCTTCGACAGGGTGCCGTGAAAAGCGAGGGCACACATGCATGCATACTTCGCAACGTGTACGGGTACATCGATACATAATACATAGACAGATGCGTAGGTACATACGTAGAACTGACGTAGATAAGGCGGGATATTTTGTCCGCTTCCGGGCCACGAGAGCGGAGAAATCGAGATCCACTTACTCTATGAGTCCCTCCGTCGCTCGTCACTCGTCACGGCTTTCTCCTTCCTGCGACGGATTTCCCAACTCGGGATGCATATCAAATGGGGGGGCGAGTCGGGGCGAGTCGGAGCCAGTAAGAGTGTTCATGTTCACTCGAATGGGAAACCATGCAACTAACCATGGCTGTAGTTGGATAGAAAACATGGAGATATATCGGGTGAATAGTTGCACCATACTGCAGCACTAACCGATCCTGGTCAAAGGGGTAAGATATATATAGAGAGAATTCGAGGGTTTTTGGGCGAGAAGGAGGATGCCACATCTCGATCCATATCTTTGTACCTTGAGTATTGGGAGAGACGACGACAACGACGCTCGCCAAAAGTCATTAAGAGCTCGACAGGCAGATCAGACTGTCAAGGCCTCCTCGAGAGGGACCAGCAAACGATATGGCACGGCTGTGGGAGTTTGTAAGTGCGTCCTTATACTTGGGAGGGGGTCTATGCGCAACCCGTGATGTCTATCATAATCATTTCCTGTATCAACTATCAACAAGTCCGACGGTGGTCCGGATGCTGAAAGATGGGATCAGACGATGATCGATACTATGGCAGGCGAGGCATTCAGGGGCAACCCAACTCCAGTCTTCGTGCTTGACCCAAGCGAGTACAGAGAATGGCCGGCTCTCGCGATCCTGCAAACCATTGCAAGGTATGGATTACCCTGACTCCGAGTCAAGCGAAGGCTGAAGCTTGGGGATTCAGAGAGTTGAATCAGTCGTACACGGTTTTTGTCAAGCGCAGCGAGGAAGGCCAGGCCTATACCAAATACCTGATTCGATCGTTCACCCTGGACAAGGAGGAGTCCTTCTGTGGACATGGCATCATGGGGGCAGCACTTGTGCTGGGACAGCGCTTCGCAGCAGGTGGAAGACAAATGATCTTTGAAACGGTCGGCGGGATCAGGGTCGACGGTTACATGGTATCGGCTCCATCATCAGAGTCATGTGAAGGAGAATACGGAAAAGTCTGCACGGTGAAGCTTGAGATCCCTGCTGAGCCAGTTAAAGAGTGGTTTGACGACGACGTGGAGCTTCGCGAAAGCATTTCGAAGTGCCTTGGGGTCGAGAAGGCGCAGATTTTGGCGCTGGGACGGAATGCTTTGATGGATCTTGTGATCGAGATGAGCGAAGAGGTCGACTTCTCCGCGGAAAGCATGACAGTTGATGCGGTGGGCTTGATGAATGCTTCTCCTTCCGAGACAAGAAGCCAGATTATTACGAGTAGAGGGGGTCGATACGGGGTCGACTTCGCAAAGCGCGTGTTCGCATATGGAGGTGAAGGTAAGCTGAGTTCCCAAAGTTTGAAGGGCTCCCGTGGGGGGCTGATATGATCCCAGACCAAGCGACAGGGTCAACACACTGCCTTTTGATACCGTATTGGGCTTCCAGGTTGAGCAAGACGGCCATGAAGGCGAAGCAAGTCTCTGCTCGGACAGGGATGGTCGATGCAGAGAGCATTGCGTCCAAGGAGGGATATGTAGCGGTGACGGGATCAGGAATAACGGTGATGCAAGGGAAGATGTTGGTTCCTGAGCCTAGCCCACACGAGAAGGGGCCCTGAGTCACATTAGGCCAGCCACCACAGCCCCAGAATAGCCATATATGCACCACAGGTGTGGGAAGGATTGGGGTAGAGGGATTGTCTGAGATGGTGTCGATGTAGACGGTATTACTCGGTAGTTCGGGGGAAGATGAAGGACTCCGGCCCAGCAAAGAGACGTCGGCTATTGGCGGAAAGCTGGTGCCAAGCTCCGAGCTCCGATGTCGCGGCCAGAAGGTCGTGATTGTATCCTTTACCGACAGAGTCTCGATACTCAATAACTAATGCACGGCTGATTATCGACGCCTTGCGACATCTCCTCTCCCCTTCCTTTTGACTCCTTCTCTACCTTTAAGGGGGTGGCCAGCTTCTCCTCCTTACCTAAACCCACCTCCGTCTCCTTGCTTTCGATGACCGCCGAACAATAACACAACATGGCACTCCCTCGGCTACTCCGCACTCCCTGCGCACGCGCTCTCACCTCATCCACATTCAAGTCGGATTCAATACGGCTACTGCCTTCCTATAGACTGTTTTCAACATCGCAGACACGCCAAAAGTCTCTCGCTGTCGACGATGACATCTACTCCAAGCTCCCGGGTATCGACCCGTCAAAGTTAGAGGTCACGAAGACCATCACGCCCAAAGCGCTGGTACCAAATAAAGATCTTGTATTTGGGAGGACCTTTACCGGTACAGCTCACTCTCGTTCCCTTTCGCAGTGACAATACACGTTATTAACCCGCATTCAGACCACATGCTCTCCATTGAATGGACGGCCTCGCAGGGCTGGTTGCCTCCTCGAATAACCCCCTACCAAAACCTCTCACTAGATCCCGCGACCTGTGTGTTCCACTACGCATTCGAATGCTTCGAAGGCATGAAAGCATACAAATGTCTGAAGGATAACTCTCTCCGGTTATTTCGGCCGGACAAGAACATGGAACGCATGAATAAGTCTGCCGCACGCATCGCGCTGCCCACATTTGAAGGCGACAAACTTATAGATCTGATTGGCAAGCTGTGCAAGCTGGACGAACGCTTTATCTCCGCCGAAAAGGGATACTCACTGTACCTCCGACCGACACTAATTGGCACGCAAAGAACACTAGGGGTTGGACCACCAGGCTCAGCGCTGCTTTACGTCATTGCCTCTCCTGTTGGACCGTATTATCCAACCGGTTTCAAAGCTATCTCGCTAGAGGCAACAGATTATGCTGTACGCTCTTGGCCGGGTGGTGTGGGCGACAAGAAACTCGGCGCCAACTATGCGCCCTGCATTGTGCCACAACTGAGAGCTGCCAAGAAGGGCCTGCACCAAAATCTCTGGCTTTTCGGCCCCGAAGAATACATCACCGAAGTCGGCACGATGAACCTGTTCGTCTGCATCAAGAACAAAGAGACCGGACAAAAGGAACTTCTTACGGCGCCGCTCGACGGAACCATCCTGGAAGGCGTGACACGCGACTCGGTGCTCGCGCTGGCTCGAGAGCGCCTCGAGCCTGAGGGATGGAACGTGGCCGAACGGTACGTCAAGATGCAAGATCTGGCGGATGCCGAGAGCGAGGGACGGCTGATTGAAGTGTTTGGGGCTGGCACTGCCGCGATTGTGGCGCCTGTGCGCAACATCGCGTGGAAGGACCGCATCCTGCATTGCGGACTCAAGCCGCACGAAGAGGCCGGCGAGGTGGCGAGCAGGATGAAAGGCTGGATCGAGGGCATCCAGTACGGCGACGAAGAGCACCCGTGGAGCTATAAAATTCCTTCTTGAGGAGGGAGACACCTAGCCCTCATCTATAGGACAAGAAGAAACGGGATAGGAAGAAGAAAAGAGAATATTTTGTCCAGTCTTACTCTGGTTCTGTCCAGGTTTTGCTTTTGTTTTAGTTTTCCCTTTTTTGGGGACGGAAAAGGCCTTGAGCGAACCCGATCGGACTTTTTCACTACCTTGGAAGAAAATAAATTTCTATTCCTAGCGGCCTTAGTCGTTGTATATACCCCATACGACAAGTTTGCATTGTATGCACCCGGGCATTAAATACTTCTTTATTCCTTTTTCCAACACATCACACCACTAATGTCCGCGTGCGGGCGGGTGGGCGGGTGTCTATTTGTGTACAGGATATATCTTAGGTATGTATATCTCTACTCGGTACAGGTATGTGAGCGTGTCCATCGAATCTGCCGGGGAGGCTTACATAGATACCTAAAATAGGTACTCCCTACGTATGACATCACAAGCTACCATTATATATCGCATGGCCTTGTCGTTGTTCACAGCCATATGATATATATCCTCTGTACCGCATTGCACACGTCACATGTACAACGAGAACACGGTTCAGTGTTCCTTGTATGCTATCCTATCTTATCCTATGCGATGCTGTGCGATTCTTATGGGAGGGTACACGAAAAGGAGGTATCGTGGACATTGATATGAAGATTAAGATATGGACCTAAATCTCTCCCGAGCCAAATCGTTGATTCCCAGATCCCAACCTGTAAAGAACTTTCGTGACCTTTTCTCTTTTGCCTTTTTTTTTTGGAGGGGCGGAAGACACCATGCCGCCATTATCAACCATTACATAGACACACATATAGGGGTGGGGGGGGCAAGGAACATACGTCGGCCCCCTGGTAGTACCGAGGACTCCCGCATTTCTCATGAACTCAGCAAGTCTCTCACGCTCATGCCCTTGCCTCGATCTTTACTGTCTTCCCTCACACCGACACCCGTCGCAGCAGTCGCGCTCGCGGGCGCGTCTATCCGTCCGCCCCCTCTCCACTCGTTCGTCAACATCATCAGGGCCGCACTGGCTGTGGCCTCTGCGGTTCCCGAAGCATCACTCATCGCCCCGGGCGATTTAGTCCCGCCCTCGCGTTCGCGTTGGATGGCTGTGCTGTAATGGGGTGGGAGCTGCAAGGACGCCACCACGGGGTGCGGCAGTGGTAGGTTCATGGCGGCTTTCGGCGAGGGCAGCGGTTGCATGTTCGGGCTTGGGTTCGACACCACCGACCCGGAAGAACTGCCCGAAGGATTGACCGTGGTCCATGAGGACGAAGGCGTGTTCAGCACGCCGCTACCAGAAGACTTGCCGACGCTGCTGTTGGTGTACGTGCGTGCTAGGTCGGGCGAGAAATGGATTGAATTGAATGCCGGTGACAGGAGCGTCGGGGTCGGAGTGGCAGACGAGACCAGTCCTTCCGAGGGTACCGAGATTGAAGGCGAGGCTGTGAAGGATTGCACGCCCGCTGGCAAGAGAGGCCTCTTTCTCATGCCACCCGTTTCGTCCATTGCGCCTTGTGATTGGCTGTGGATGTGAGGAGATGGGTATGCTGAAGAACTGCTCAACGACGCGACCGAGGATTTGCGCGAGTCTCGCAATACCCATTCGCTCCGAGCCGTGGCGCTGGGCCGATGACTCCGTATCTTCATCGGTGGAGCTGCGGGAGCAGGCACGTCGTCAACAGCCTCGTCTTGTTCCTCATCCTCGTCTTGCTCGTCGTCGTCTTCTTCTTCGTCCAAGCCCTCATCCTCGCCTGGCCGTTCGTCTATCTGCATTCTCGAACTCGTCGACGACCTCACTTTACCTCCCAAGTTTGCGTTTTCCTCTTTCAACTGCGCCACGCATCCCTCCAAGTACCTTACATATTCGATCCCCGCTTGCAGAATGGCGAGTTTATGCATCTCCACGCCTTCACACGCAGGTATCATGTCCTTTAGGACCCCAAACTCTTCATTCATTTTACTCCGCCTGCGACGCTCGATGATGCTGTGCGCAGTCTTGCGGGCAATTTTCCTGCCCGCGGCGCTTGTGGCGGAGGGTTGTTTCCGCTTTGAATTTGTAGCAGTGGCATTGGACGCTGCACCACTGGATGAGGTCGCCGATGCTTTGTGAGAGGGCGCGGACGTCGTCGAGGTCGCGGTCGATCCGGGTGGTACGTAGCTGGCGTCACTGGCCGGAGAGGAGTTGTTTGTCGCCTGAGACTTGGGTTTCATCTGGATGATCTTGCGGGCTCGACTCGGAGGAGGAGGGAGGGCGTAGGAAGCAGCAGCGCTGCCGTTCGTAGCCGCAGATTCGACGTTTGATTTGACCACTCCGGAAGAGGTTCTTTTGTGTCGGGGACTGGCAGTGAGCGGTTTGTCCTGGGGCGAGATTGGCGGAGTGCTCTGTGTGAGCGCTACGGTATGTGCGGCGTCTCGTGCGTGTGACGGCTTTCCGTTCTGGTGGCTCTGGGATTGTGCGTCGCTTGAACGGATTGCTGGAGGCGGTAAGGCAAAGATGGCTTCCATCTCTGAGGCCTGAAATGGCTTCAAGCTTTCCAGCGCTCTCAGGTCAGATGAGCCGGTTGGAGTGGGCGGCAGTTTTGGCCGTGGCATAGTTAAGCAAGGAGGAGGTCGAACACGATGTCCACAATCGGGAATGAATGGAAGAGTCTGTTGGATCAAAGCAAACACGAGGGGTGATCAGGTCATATAAGACGAAGGGGCCGTGATTCAGGCTTCTCAAACAGAGGCACGCGAGGAGTCCGTATCTAGGGTTCTGGGAAAAGGTCCAAACGCTTCACAGCGGAATAGAGACGGCGAACAACCTGTCGCAAGACGAGCGCCAGGACCAGACACAGCGCATAGTGAGCAAGAGGGAGGGATGAGGGGAGTATAGAGACGACGACGAGGTATGGAGGGAGGACGGTAGGGGAGAGGACTTGGAAGGATAGGGAACAACACCAGCAAGCTGGGAAAAATAAGGACGAAGTGTTGCCATGAGCAGTTCTATTCCGAAACATCAAACGTCGAGATTTCAGGATGTGGGCACGTGTATCTAGCACAGTGAGCACACGACACCCGTGGACGACCCTCGTGTGGTCGCGGTGATAGGTGATAGGAGCAGAGCAAACCAGCCTAGCAGTGCCTCGGAGCCCTGGAGCCCTCGTGCGTGGTGGGCGGAACGGTCAGTGGCTGCTCAGGCATCTGTGACGGAGGGGGTTAGCAGCAAGGCCCCGGTTTGAGATTTCGCGTG